AACTAGATAAATACAACCAAATGAATTATGCTTAATCCAAAAAAAATCTACAGTTTAACAATCCATTTTGAATATTAAATTTTATAATCTTTTCTCAAAGGGACACCCCTAAAGACTTTGTAAAGAATTAGTTATTTCAGTTATAAAAAATTAAATCATAGTCCTAGATCATGGCAACAAAATAATAAAATAAAAACTGCATGTGCCAAACCAAATAAAAAAAGGAGCCTAAGCTCATTATTTTGAAGTCTTCCTAGTAACTCTATCGGATAGCTCATTTGAAAATGGTAAGAGGTAACATATAAGATCTAATATCTTAGTAACAATTAGATATTCTAACTTATAGTAACACATCAATTAAAAACCAATTTTCAAGCCACACACACACACACTCTCTCACTTTTCACAATCCTTTTACAAACCATTTCTCAATAAGGGAATCCTTTTTTCTCAGTTAAAACAATTCACATCAAATAATAATTTAATCAAGTGATACTTATCTCGATCACACCCTTATGTCCCACCCCTTGCATCTTATTATCACTAGCTAAAGCCCAAACTATAGATACACTTAACCAAAGGTACTTTTCCAGCAGAGTATAACTCCTCTCTTTAAAAGGAGGCACCCAATACTTAAACCATAGTAATATGAAATTGCAAGATAGGCCAGTCATTAAGCACTTAATAGAGGGATACCATGTGGCACTAGATAATTTAGTCTCCAAAACAATAATGGCACCAACAATTATATACCAACCACCTTATTTTCTCTTATATCACATTCCAAAAGTTAAATTTCAAAAATTTTGAAGTATGCTTAAAATAACGAATCATATTATATTTAATTCCTAAAACCAACAAGCATATTTGAAAGGATTAAACTACCATTAGGCATAATTTTCACAGTCAAATCATCACTCAACACAAACTAGCAAGCTTGAAAGAGATAAAAATAATTATACGATAGTTCAAATATCACATAAACATGTTGGATAGTTGACAACTATATTTCCAATCCAGAAATTAGTCAAACAATTCCTTAGTTGGTACAGCATTTCCAATGTAATTATACATACAAATTAATAAAAAGTAGATATCTCAATATAAGAAAGAATAATCTAATGTTATCTCTCACCTTAGCTAAACAATACCATCATTGAATGCTCTCAAGTGCTAAATATTTCTCACAATTGCAAATCTACATAAGCCGTATCACAATTAATTAAAACAAAATCAAAATAGTTAAATTAAATTAACTCTAAATCTCAACTCTCAAAATTTATGTCAATGTCAATTCTTTATTTCTGAAATCTAATTTCAATTTATCTCAACCTGAACAAATCTGTTAGAATCTTAATTTACCATTTAATGGTCTAGCTTTGTAGGTATTAGTATAATTTTTAGAAATCATCATGACAATCTACTCTCTCTCATGAATGAAAAAAATTAAAGCTTCACCTTTCTCGAGTAAAGCTTTTACACTACTTAAAGCCCTCTAACTTGCTGCTAACCAATGCCTCACAAATGTAGAGTTTGAATCTCAATGCAAGTTCTTAATAGATACTATTCTTTCTGACTCAATTTGCCTTGGATGGACCTATTTGACTACCATTACTGATATAAGGAGTTTTTTTGTGGATCACACTAGTTATCTAAATGAGGACCTGTTTGACTCAATTTTTTGTTATCTAAAATATTTTTCAAAAATTCCATCATTATTGGGTATATATCACAGTCATTATTAGGAGATATTATTTGATATTATTATGTAATTATTAATCATTATTAGGTTATCTTTTTCTTGATGTATATATTGTATCTTTCAGCTCAATAATAGATAAGATATTTTTTCATGCTTCTCTTGCTCCTTTCGTGATACCAAAGCTGTATTTTTCTCGCCCTTTCTTCCAGCATTGCATCTTTATCCTCTGCTCATTTCATCCCCAACATCGTCTTTGGTTGCCTTTTTCTCTTGCCTTTGGAATCTTTCCTTCAGTTTTTCACAATTTTGGTGGGACCCGTTATAGCCTTTCTTTTGCCTTCACATTCAGTTCCTTTCCCCCCTTAAAGTAGCACCAATTTTGCCTTCTTCCTCATTAAATTTTTAGAACTTCTCATCTATCTGATAAAGCTAACTCGATTCGTGTGAACTCTTTTACTTTGGGATTCTCACTTAATCACCATCTCCTCTTGGTCTTTGTATTTTTTTCCTTTATTATTCAATGAAAAAATTCGAGGTTGCTCAACCTATTTTTGTTTTGTTGACTGGTCCTAACTATCGATTATGGATGGAAAGTATAGGCGGGTTTTTAAAAGGCAGGAAACTTTGATAATATATTACTGAGGGTGTCTTATTTCCTGTTCTATCCTCTTTTAAAGATGACCAAAAATTTACTGATTGATTGGATGGTTGGGATAGTAAAAATAATCAAATTATAGCATAGTTTTGAAATACTTCTATCACTGGTATTCATCAGTAGTTCGAGCGCTTTAAAACTACTAAAGATGTATGGGATCATCTTGCTAGTTAGCATACCTCTTCTGATTCGTCCAATCAATGCCAACTGCAGAAAGACTTGGCTGTTCTCAAAATGGAGAAAGATCAACCGCTACTTAAGTTTCTTTCTAAGATAGAGAGGCTATTTGAGACCAATTAGCCTATTCTGAGCCTACTTGTAAAAATGATGAGGATGCTAAAATTTTATTCAAGTGGCAAGATTAATTTCGTCTTATACAATTCTTAATGGCTTTTACCGATGATTTTGAGTCTGTATGTGCCTCTCTACTTTATCAAAGCCCACTTTTGACTCTTGAGGAAGCTTTTCCTTGTCTCCATTTTGAGTAAACTCATTTAGGTCTTCTCTAACAATCCCCTGACATGGCCTTTGCTGCTCCTAGAAGGAATTCTAATCTTTGTCGCCACTACCCTCAATCTACTCACACTTTTAATCAGTGTCCATATATTGAATGCAAAACTTGCTAGAAGATAGGACATATAGCTACGAATTGTCCTTCTTTGACTTGTCGTTATTGTAAGAAGCCTGGGCATCTCATCAGTGCCCACTTGACCTACCAAACTTGACCAAGGGAGGTCATTTAAGTCTGGTTCTTCATCATCCAAGCCTGCTCTATCTGTTATTGATAAGCCACCTATTGTTACTACTTTCACTTTAGGATCTGACATTGCAGAACTTGAGTCTTTACCTTGCAAGATTATCTCTGGCACTTCCATTCCACCTGCTACCTTAACCAATTGATAGTAATGGATGGGATTACCTAACAATGTACTATCAGTAAAAATATAGTGAACGTTTAGCTGAATAAAAGTATTTTGAACTCGTTCCAATAATAATAATTTGAACGGGATCGCCACGCAACGTGAGAGCACGAGATCACAACAATTACTGTTGAAGTGGGGACACTCAAGCACGTGCAGAACCTGCCACAATCTCCCACGCGTTCCACGTTTCGCTCGTCTTTACGTGACGTAAATATATTTAACTCTCATCAATTGAACAACATGGAATACAAAATAAGAAAATTCCACAATTTTCACCCGTTGATCACTACCTTTATTTCTAAATCGTGCGGACACGCATTGTACCAGGGAGACCAATGAGTTCCCTACATCTCCCTACAAATGTGTAAAGCATGATAATGTCATTTAACTCTTCGACAGTTTTAAAAATATCAATGAAAAAACATTAATATCAATTTTTTTCTTAAAATCTGAATTTTATATAATAAATTATACAATTTACACGCTTATAGCATCTTTTGGAAACTCAAATATAGTGAAAAAAAATTATGTTGATTTAGAAGGGCCGCGAATTTTGATTCCTTTTGAAGTTCACAATGACCCAACAGATATGCAGTTTTTATATAAATATTATTTAAAAAATTAAAACACAAAACCTTCACAATATTTTACTTCGAAATCTCTTTAAATATATTCATAAATCGAATGAAAACTAATTTTTTTTACATTTAAATATTTAAATCTTATAAATAAAAAATTATCCTAGTTAAATTTGATAACACTCAAAGATGTCAAAAAATCTTTTGCTCTAATTTTGAGCCACTCAAATTTTGAGATGGACAGTGTCCCTCGGTTCCCATGACATTTCGGCCACAAGCCCCACAAGTGTCGGTCTCGTATCATTTTCGGCCTGACTTGTCATTTCAGTGTTCGTACAATCTATGCCCCCTCTTTACCGTAATGAATACTGGTAATTACTATAAAGCATTAATTAGGTCGGTTTGGTTACTAAAAAAATTAAAAAAAATTAATCTTTTAATCTCTAACTTTTAAATTACTTATAATTCAGTCTCTTAATGACTCATTGTGATTCAGTCTCTCAATTATAACTCACTTATAACTCAATTACTTAACTTTTGAATCACTTATAAATTAATTTCTTAATTTTTATTAATTTTTTTATGTTAGTTTATATCTCACATCAATAAATAAGAGAAGGGTATTTTAAAATAATATATAAACATTTTTTATCCCTATTATTTGATAAGAAAATTTTTTTAAAAAAATTAAAAAATAAAAATTGAGTTATAGGTGAATCAAAGTTGAGGGACTAAATCGTAGCAAGTCATAATTAAGGGACTAAATTACAAGTGAGTTAAAAGTTGAAGGATTAAAAAATTAATTTTTTCAAAAATTAAAATAAAATTGATTGAAAAAACAAAATAAAAATAAATTAAATTATCTTGATAAGTAAAATAAAATTCAATATTACATATCAAAATGTGAGAATTATTGTGCCTCCGTGAATTTTATTTCATGTCATTACTTTTAATTTTATAAAAGTATTTTTTTATTTTTGATAAATATGATTTATCTATCTGTTTTATGCTTTGTTCATATTATTTTTTTTAATCTATTTCATTCCGTTTGCAAAACCTGGAGCTTACTGTTATCCTTAATTATACTTTAACGTATTAATTAGTATTATACAAAGATTCACAAGGTCAACTCGATTCTGTGGATATAAGCAGCTCCATCCGAATCCGTCATTAGTCTTCCAGCTCCTCTTCTGCTCGACCACCTTGTTCTTCTTCCTGTGATTAACAAGCCAATCTGCAATGGATAACATTCTGGGTCTTCTCAAACTTCGTATCAAAAGAGGTATTTCGCTCGCAATTCGTGATACTCGTAGCAGTGATCCTTATGTCGTTGTCACCTTGGGCGACCAGGTTAGTACAACCTTGCTCTTTGCGTGTTTTTGAATCAATTTTGCCTCAGTGCGTTCCTATTCATGAAATGGATTGTTGTAGCTCATGATATTCGATTCCTATAAGAATTTGGAGAGATTCGTTATCTTCCTTGTTTTCTCAACTTTCCTTTCTGAGATGTTTAGGTTTTTAATACTTTCTGGTTTCGTTCTATAAGTGCTATCTGTTTCATGAAATACTGCTGTGCACTACATTTCTGGATTGGAAAACACCCTTTTGGGCGTTCACCGTTTGAGATCGTCTAAAATGTTCATCTTCCCTGTAATCAAGCAGTTGTTAGGACTTAGGTGTTCAATCTTTTGAGTCCTCATTTCCCAGAATTAAATTAAACCTTTGCCCGCTTTAAGCCCTAAAGATTTATGCAACGGAAGTTCATATTTATATGAATATATATAACTACCTACACGGCTTAATAGACATAATTTTAATTTTATAACCTGAATAGTCATCAGTGATTGTTAGTGTACTCTATTAGGTCTCAACTTTCTCTTGTCAGGATCCAAGACGCTTTCCATGCAAATCATCTTCCATGTAGTATTTACTCCTGGAACTGATATGATATTTAATTCGCATCATATATGTGGAAAATTCAAAGTTGAAGCCTCATGTGTGAAGACAAAACGCATGTGGCTGTTAACTACCCATAATATTATATTATTTAATTGTGCACAACAGCGAGAATGACTTCGTGATAATTAATTGCAACCTGACAAAGTAGCTACTGGGAAGCCTTCTTTTTGAAGCACTTTTATGTCACTAGAACTGTTCTGAACTTAGTGATAGCACCGTGGGAACTTCATGGCCGATCTGGATTCTCCATTTAAAAGCTCTTAAAGTTTTTAGTCTTTTTTGAAGGATGGAGTGGATTATGGATGCCTTCTTTCAAGTTCCATGCCTCTTCTTTTAGATGTAATTATCATCACATTCTTGAGGACCAACTGACATGGAGATTGTTTGAAAGATTGTCACAACAATTTGAACTTGAGAAGTTTGAATTTCTCGACGCTGCATAAGTATTCATTGATTCCACATTCTGTTGCGGTAACTTGCTTGATTTGAAGTTTATTCCATATTGGAACAGAAAGTGAAGACCCGTGTCGTGAAGAATAATCGCAACCCTCAGTGGGACGATGAATTGACGCTCTCTGTTAAGGATGTCAACTCTCCAATTCATCTAGTAAGTACGAAGCCAAACTGACTCATACCATCGGTGATAGTGCTGTTGGCAGATCCATATCCTTATTAAGAAAAACAGTCATTGCTAGGACTAGTAGGAAATGCTTTTCATGTTCTTCTAGTGTTTATGTCATCAAGTTCTCTGATAAAATATACTGTCTCTAAGAAGTCAATAATATGGTGCTACTGCTGAATTTTCTTTTGCAGATATTTGATAGCAAACACCTAGAGAACTTTATCTAAGTCTAGGTCATATTCTCGTGCTCAATTGTTGATGGTGGCAATGAAATTTGCTTGACTCTTGCAGGCAGTTTTTGACCAAGACACGTTCACCGTGGATGACAAAATGGGGGATGCAGAGATAGACATAAAGCCATATCTTCAGTGTCTGAAGATGAACTTGACCAACCTCCCAAATGGTTGTATAGTGAAGAGAATTGAGCCAGATGGGAGAAACTACCTTTCTGAGCAGAGCAGCTGCATATGGAAGAATGGAAAAATCACCCAAGAAATGACTCTTGCATTGAGAAACGTGGAATGCGGCTATGTAGTGGTAGAGATTGAGTGGAAGGAAGTTCCAGGTTGCAAGGGCTTATCTGGGATTGAGATCTAAACCTGTTGCACAATGTTTACAGAGGAGTGAGGAATAAGACTAGACTCTCCTAACGAGTCATGAAGGGTTATATGTGGTAGGATATTTCTATTATGAGTCCACGGTGTTATCCGTGTGATATTGATTTTATATGTATTGTCATTGTCTGAGAGTGCTAGGTACTTTCAGGCACACAAAAAAAAAAAAAAAAAACGACTGAAGTACCTTATCTTATTCTGAGTTGTAGCAGAACAAGTTAGTGTCATGTAGAAATGTTTTATCAGTATCAGCTGACATTAGGATCTGTGCTTGTCACCAAGCTTTGTGATTATGCCATTGTGGTAGTTGATTTTGGATATGCATGCAGGGTCCAATAAGCATAAATTTGGGCCAATGAGTTTGAATTGAAGCCCATCTTGTATGGCCTATGCAGTTGAAGCTGAAAGATATGCCAGGGCTTTTCCCATGGGCTTGGCTCTGGATTTTTTTAGTATTTCTATCATGGGAGTCTTGTAGTTTGGTGAGAGCAGCCGAGTGACGTAGCAGCACAGCCTTGGCAAGAGGACTATCGATTGTGTTTGTGAAACGTGTCGTCTCCTGCTGCCATGGCATATCCTTAAGGGACTGAGGTATATTAATCTATGCTAATCTATACCGTTTTACTAAAAGAATGAAATAATGATTTGTTAAGGTTGAGGCGAGGCATGGATATATAGATATTCGAAGTTTTTTTTTTAAATATATTTGTATCATGCTATTATAAAAAATCATAAAATTGTTACACAAAGGATTTGAGTTGCAGTTTGCATTGCATTAGCTACTCATTATTGTCTGAATGTTTGTTGAGAATAGCAGATGCGCATGGAAAGGACCATGAGCTCAATTGCATGGTGCCACGGAGTCAAGCGCACTGTTGCAATTATTAGAGTTTGCTGGGGCTGTTGATTAGCTGGTCGAATATTATCAATTGCTTGTTCTCGTGATCAATCTCTTCAGAGTTCTCCTTGCTATTAAATGCCTTGACTCCTATAATTAAAATGAAGTAGGTTAAAAAGATGTGCTTACATTCGGAGAAGAAAAAAAAAAGGCTTCATGATATAAAAAAAGAGCAAAATACTCTAACCTCTTATCTATTTTATCTTAATTAATAATATATATTTTTTATTTTTGAAATTTATAAGAATCACCCACATTAATAGTTACAAAATACAAAAATTTTCTTTATTTTTAATATTATAGTTCGGGTTAAGGTGTAAATTTACTTTTAATGTTTTCAGCTAGATATACTCTATATCTTAAATATTTTTCAGCACAATTTTACCTTAACTTTACAATATCACTCTGTCGTTATCTTTAACCGTTATCTTTGAAATTTTGATCATTTTAGGCCATCCTAGATTTGCCATGTTGATAGCCACATGGCATAGTTTAATAATTAAAAATTAAAAAGAAAAAGAAAAAAATCCAACTAAGATGACAAATCAGTCCATATTCTCCCTCCCTAACCGTTCTTCTTCTTTTTCCTGCAACAGTGCAACCAGCAAGCCAAGAGTTCGATAGGCAAGAATTTCAGCATTTACGCAAAAATTCCAATAAACCACAATCAATATTCCAGCATTTAAACAAAAATTCCAGATCCATTATCACACAACCATCATTCCAACAAGCTCCACATTTTACAACAAAATAAACAAAAATCAGAATTAAATTTGTTAACAAAAACTCGAAGAAGATGAAGCATCCAAAATCAATCCTCAAACCCACACAGACCTTCGAACCCAAAATCATTGTTGTTAAAGAAGAAGAATGAAAGGAACTACAAACTCATCCCTTCGAACCAACCCCAATAGTGGACTTAGACTCGAGGCTGAACTTGTTTCAAGTGAATCGAGAGAGGAGGTTGGATTTGCCAACACCCAAGCCTCATTAAGGACAACATTGAAGAGGTAGTCGTAGTCATCGTCAGGTTTGTAAGCCGCCATAACTCGATTCAAATCCAGGAAGCCCCTAGGTAAGGTAGTGAGTCTGAAAATCGGATCGAAACGCGAAGCTAAAAAGCATTAGCCATACAAACACAATAATTGATTGCTCTTGCAAGTGTATAGGACACAATAATAAATTATCTAAAGTATTTCAAATGTCAAACTCACAAAGAAGTTGCATCTTAACTGATTTAAATAATTAATAGTTCAAAAAAATAGATAAAATGATTTTTTTGATGACAATATAAAAAATAAAAATAAATCTATAAAATAATGATGGGAAAAATACAATTACTTGAGACGCTGAGATTCAGAATTCATTTTATAAGTTACTGATTTCTACCTTTTGAGTTGATTCTAATCAATTATAATGATAACTATTTTTAAAATGTCTTAATATTTTTCTAAATTATTAGTCCCTTTTTAATTAGCGTCAAATTTGTTCCTATGATATTCAAATAACTAATTAAACTATGAAGCTATAATTTAAATCATCATAAATTTTTAGAATTATCTCTAACCTGATTATTTATGTCTGTTTCTCTAGATCAAAATTCTCTCTCACCTACCAATCAATTAATATTACTCATAAATTTGATTAAATGATAGCTAGTCATAAAATAAACATAAAAAACAAGAGAAATAAAAATAATTGCAAAAGGAAAAATATATTTATAAATATAAATGTGAAAAGTCAAAACAAAACAAATAAAATAGAAAATTAATTCTTCAATTAGGTTACATCCCTGTTCCAACTGAGTAAATTAAAAAACACATAATAAAATAAAATGATATCATTCTAAAATTCTCAATCATGATAAACGATACTTCTACATGTTTCAAACATCTCATAAAAAATTCTTAAAATACTAAAATAAGTGATTAAATGTTTTTCCTTTTAATGGAGATGAGTATTTATATTTAAAGTCAATGTTCCCCTTATTCCCAATCAATGTAAAACTGTTATAATATATATATATATATATATATAATATTCTTATCTTCAATTATATCTATCGCCTGCGCCTGGATCCACACCCACAAATACTAATTTGCTATATCTTTGGTGATTTGATATATATTTTGCATGATATGCGTAGTTGTTTCTTCAAAGCAAGCACGCGCACGCATATATATTCTTTTCTCTCCTTTTATGCATTTTCTTCTTTTGTTTAATCTATTACTTTCCTGCAAAATAAAAGGAAATATGTGAGTAAATTCTGTATCAAAATTCCTTTTTATCTAATAATTTAGTGGTAGGAAAAATATATATTGTTGGATATTATAAAATATTTTTGAGTATTTCAAAAGAAATTATTATAAATTAATAATATTAATTATTATTTAAGTCTATTTATTATTTTGTAATGTATAATTTAAACATCATTATTATTTAAAATCATTTTAATTGTGATTAAGGTGACTTTATGGCCTAGAATTATGAGATTGGCCTATAAAAGGCAGTGCTTGCCACATGTTCTTTTGTGCTTTTAGCCTTTCTCTTCTCTTTTATCACATTATTTCTTTGTGCATATACCTGAGGTTATTTTATGAATTTTTGTTGTTCCGTGTCCCTACTTTCAGTAGGAAGAATCTGTTTAATTTTGGGGAGCTGTCGCTAATCAACTTAGTGTAATGGCATAGCTCTTAAGGACAGTGTTCTCGGGCACGCTTGCTAGTGACAACATATATAAATATTAATTAAATAGGTTATGAAATATTAATAAATCTAATCAAATATGAATCAGAATTTATACCTATTTAACTATCAAATATGCACTTATCTGAAGCCCACTCGTGCAAACCAGGAAGAAAGAGGGAAACGAAGAAGAATTCAAGAAGACTGGGAAACTGGGCTCACCTTTTGGGTCGAAGAAACACAAAAACTCAAAAAATAATCGAATGGATCTGATGGTGAGATGCATGGGTCAAATTATTTCCAAATCCAAGCTCCTCATTCGCAAACGGATCCTCTCCACCTTTACCTGGTTTTTGGTTCCTTCCCCTCCATCTTCACGAATAAGATTGAATAGGTAGATGTCAGGTTCTCGCCTGTTGATTTTCCAGAGGCAACGATAGTGGAGATGAGGAGGAAGAAGGAAGTGGAAGTGGAGGAGGAGCTGTAATTACATGTGGAGGCCAACGTGGCATTCTATCGACACACTCAACAGTCAAAAATTTTAACTTAATGGTCAACATGGTCAAACCTAATAGTGGGGGTGATATTGTACATAAATGAAAAATGTTGGGATGAAATTACTTGAGATAATACCTTAGGATATAGGATCAAGCTGACTGAAAACTTTGAAGATAAATTTATATTTTAATTCTTAGTTCCATCCACTTAACCATTAATTAATCGTTAAATCATATATGTTGAGCTCAAATACCTTTCTTCAGATAAAAAAAAGTCTTAAAGTCAATTCAAATTATTAAAAAAAATATTAATGCATGTATCTTTTACTTTTTATTTATATGTTAAATATGTTAATTATGTCAATGTATTTATTTTGTAATTTTTAAATAAATTAAATACATACATTGGATAAAATAATATTCAAACACACAGTTAGGAAACTTATGAAATAAGAATTTAAATTTTAATATAATAAATTAATCAATATAATTTCTGTTTATTTTTCTTTAAATTTCATTAATTTTAACACAAAATTTTTAAACTATTTATTTAAATACTAGCATACTTAATTATTTATTTATTTTTAAATTGAGGGATAGAGTAGACAAGTAAATTATAAGGTCAAATCAGTAATTTTAAAATTTTTAACAGAATATCCTTACCGTACTAAAGATTGAATTAAAGTATAAGCTTGGGGAAAAAAGTCAGGCTTCAAAGGATGAGCGTGGACATCTTCAGCAACCTTAATGATGCAGTCCAGTTAGGCTTGTGGAGGGGGCACAACCTCATGCAGCTTCTCATGTTCGAAGGCCCACTTTGCAAGGCCTCTATTGCCCATGACAATGACATGAACCTTCGCCTTCGTGGGCTGAATCAAGAACGTTGTGCTTTGTGAATATCCTGAAGCTGATGGGCTACAAAGACGTTGAAGAACTTGGCAGTAGATGAATGGACTTCAACTTCAGTCTCCACTTTACCAGTAAGAGCCATCTCTCTATGATTGCCGAGTTGAAGATCGCAGCGGAAGGAAAAATGCTTAGCTTGTTCTGTTGGCATTAAATAGCATAATGTTTCTGGAACTAGTTTTAGTACTTATCATATATATGAGTATTAAAAGTTTATTAGCATTGTTCAAATCTAATTTTCATGATTCAAATTTACAGTTTTTTAACTGATGTTTCTGTAAACAAAAAATTATTTTAAAAAAAAACTAACAGTTAAAAGACTGTCGTTATTTTGGATTTTGTATCCAAAAAAGTAGATTTTATTTATAAACATTAATTGAAAAACTATAATTTTAAACTGTTCAAATTAGATCTCACGGTCCACAAGCAATGAGTTCTCAGTGTTTATTTGTATGATGAGCACTAAAACTGATTTTGAATGTTTATATGCTCTACTTATCACATCTCTGTCCTCATTAATTAAGTAATTACTGACAATGTTGTGTGGTTATCAATCCCACCTCACATTTTTTGCGCTGACTGTACATTATTGGGAATGACTTTCAATAAAACCAGTTTTAGGTAAAAGAATAAAAAAGAGAGGAAAAACATAGAGCCTATTTGACAATATGTTCTGAGAATAGTTTTCTATTTTTTAATTAAAAAAATTTATTTAGTAAAATGTTTTAAAAAAAATATTTTGAAGAACAAAAAATAAAATATTATTTTAAAGAATAGAAAAATTAAAACATCTTTTAGGTATTTTAGAATTATTATTTTGGAGAACTTAAAAAAATAAAAAATACCTATTTTTATTATTTGTTAGAATAATAAAATAAAAACAGTTTTAAACAAGCCTATAATTTTCAATCCTTATAATATCATTTAATTTTGTTTCTATAAAGACTTAAAAGTAAAAATCACCCAATCTTTTTGAAACTATAAAGATTAAAAATACTAAAAAAATTATGAAAAAAAAAATAAAACAAGACAAAATTATAAGAATAAAAAAATTGTATTTTTACAAGAGTAAACGATGAAATTATTGAGACAAAGCAGCAAAGCCCATAAAGGAGGGTAAAGAGGTTGCGGCAATGACAAACAAACACAACATCTTGAAGCATTTTTCATATATTTTATAATTATAAATAAAAATTCTAATTAGAATAAAATAAGCATATCAATTTTTTAGGAATAATAAGATATGCTGGAATTTTTCAATAAAACTATTTTTTTTACCTGAACTACTATTTGATATTCAGTACTATCATATGTTATACTTGAGCATCATCGAATTTAATTGGATATGCAGCTCTTCTAATATGATTCTTTTTATTAACATGATTTGAGCTTTCAGCCTCACTTAAAAGAAATTGAGTCACTTCTGGTCAACCTAGCTGCACATCCGTTTCTTTTTATCTTTTTTCATCAATTTTTGACTGCTACGTAGCTCCCATTAGTATATGCTTGGTGTCGCTTTCTTATAAAGTATTTGATAATTAAAATTACCAAACGACAAATAAGTGTAAAATTATCATTTTTCAATCCTGTGAAATTATTTCTGGCCTTATAGAATTAAAATTTTTCAATAAGTCCCCATAAAACATAATTTAAATATCCAAACTCGAGCCAATAGATAAATGTCGCGTGGCCTAGCTAGCTTGATATACCAGAGTTTTTTTTTTTTTTTTTTTAGCCTCGTCCAAGGCTTTCAAAATATATTCTTCGATCAATCGTAGTTGAGATTCATGATAATCATATTGGCTGATTTGAGTCTTACATTATGGGGTCGTATTTTATAGAGCGTGCTAAACTGGCTTTAAGGATGAAACTGAAATTAAAAATTATGGGGACGAAGATACGACTTTCCCGTATGCATGCTGAAATTATTGGAACTGAAATTAAAAACTGGCTGATTTGAGACTATGCTTTTAATTTCACGCCTTTCTCCACATGAAAAGCCAAAAGGGATGCAAACACATTGAATTGATCATTAATTAGCTACATGTGTATTGTTGTTTGGTTGTTTTTTAAAGAATAGCATCTGGATGTAGAAGGACATGCAGCTGATGAAATAAGTGTACACCAGCTGAGAGCTCACTGAAAAAGTTTTAGTTTAATAAACACTAACAAAATTTTAGCAGCGTCAAGGATTAAGTTAACAATTTTGCAAATTAAACAGTAGGTTTTAATTATAAAGCGCTAATTAAAAATTATAAAGACAATAAATATAACTGTCCCATAACGGAACCAACAATTCATAATTAAGCACAATAATAATAAAAGATCACAAACTTCAATGCATGCATTATTATTCTCGGCACAGCGATTATTAACATTATAGGTTCACCCACTTAGTTACACCATAAAACCTTAATAATAACCAGAAGCCAAATCCATTGTATATCTGATGAATGATGATCCTACCCACCATGTGATTATTAATGTTTTTGGACATTGCTGTTTGACGGTTTGTTAAGAATAACAGATATAGATATATATATATATATAGAAGGGCAGATTAAAATGCACAATAATGAAATAAACCAATTATCTGGTAAAGTAAGGTGTCGCTAATAATGATAGGGTTTTTTTTTTTTTTTTAACATGAGTATCTTACAAGGTCATATTTAAGTTTTATCGTCCGGCCAATTGGAGTTTGGAGATAACATTGATTTGAGTAACCCTTTATTCTTTTCCTTAACATGTCCCGGAAGGAGATCCTCTCCTCATCCCTTCTCCCCATCTTCACTTTAATGAGATACGTATCGGGTTTTTAATTTTATTTATTTCTGCACGTAGAAAGGGATAGTTGAATTCATCATTAGCTACATTATACAATGTTGTTTAATTTGTTAAGAATATAGCAGATCTGCAGATGGATACAGAGGACAACTGATGAAATAAGTGTACACATGAGAGCTCACTAATAAATGTTTAATCTAAGAAACACTAACAAATTTTAGCAGCAAGGATTAAATTAAAAATTTTTCGAATTACACAGTTGGTTTTAAATATAAATCACTAATTAAAAATTGAATAAAAATTATAAAGACAATAATTATAACTGTCCCAATACAGAACCAACATTTCATAACTAAGCACACAATAATAAAACATCACACACTTGAATACGTGCATTTTGATTCTCAGCACAACCATTATTATAGGTTCACACACTTAGTTAACATAAAACCCTGATAATAACCAGAAGCCAAATCCATATTTTTGTTGTTGTTGATGTTTTAGGGCTTTGCATTCATGAGATGAGCATCAACATCCTTAGTAACCTTAGTGGCAAAGTCCAAGTAAGCTTGGGGCGGAGGGACTTCCTCACGGAGCTTCTCGTATTCATAAGTCCATTTTGCAAGGGCACCGTTGCCCTTGTCAGTCACTTGAAGCTTCGCCTTTAAGCTTTTATACTTGTCTCCAACATCTCCATCAAACAAGTTGAATGCTAGTGACTTGTTCTCATGATCAATCTCTTCAAAGTGCTCCTTACACTTCTCTACCTTACCTCCTGTGTAGATCAACATCAGCAAGTAAGCTTATCTCATGATAATGAATTAAATTAGACAAATAGGGCTGTACTAAAAAGCTGAAACTGCGTGATGAGTAGGTAGGGGGGGAATTTTGGTGAAAAACTTACCAACAGTGTAAGTCCAGTGCTTAATAGAAGCAGAGCCAACGCCGTGCCAGTCTCCTTGATGCACCTTGGTTTCATGCACAACATCACTAATGTTCTTGACATGGTGAAGTTTGAGATGCCAAGACGCCGAAGAACTCGGCTGCAGGTGAATTCACCTCGACTTCACCCTCCAATTTTCCAGCCAGCTGAGCCATTTCTCTATGATTTGGGCTCCGGAAACAAGGAGAACGATATATGGATGTGGTAGGCAGGAGATCAGATGCTTGCTTCTTGGTTTATTAAACAGACCAGAGTTTCTCTACTTTAGCTTATATAAATTTCTAGTAATTCCATGTTTCGTTTCTGCCCGCAAAAAAAAAAAAAAAAGCTTATATATAAATTTCATTTTCTTCCTTCTTTGTTTTTCTTTCACGATTTTCTTATGTCAACTTGATTATAATTTAGCCCCTGTGCTTTAAGAACTTTATAACTAATTTTACTTCATATATGGTGTGTGTGTGTGTGTGTGTTATCCGCAATGGAGTTAAGCTTTTGTTGAGGTGTGGCTAGTGTCTTTGAGACGTGAATGTGTGTGTGTGTGTGTATTATCCGCAATGGAGTTAAGCTTTTGTTGAGGTGTGGCTAGTGTCTTTGAGACGTGAATGCCACATGTAGATTTAGTGTTACGAGTCCTGACTCTTGTATGGAGAAGACTCACAAGGAAAAAAAAAAAGATTTATAAATTAAAGGATCTTTTTTAAATTTTAATCTTTTTAAGACTGATTCTCTCTTTAATACAATAAACATGGATGTAAAATTTTTTTTAATAAAATGTCTGTCTGCTTTCACTCAAAAATTGAAGTCATATAATTAAGCGCTCTTCAATTCAGTGTACAAATTAAATAATGGCTTTGACATGTACGTGATCATTAATATGCCACATGATGGTAAGGACGATAGGTATAACTCAGATAAGATTGATGGGACACACACACACCCACACGCAGAGATAATCTGCTCTGTGTATTCATTGAGAGACCAGAGTTGAGCTATCTGTATAGATCAGCGTCAAGACTTCACTCTTCTACATGAATTGATTTTTGTAATTGTTCAAACAAGTTTTTATTTTTGTTAATAAATTTTATTTTTCTGTATCAGAAATTAATTAAGTATCTTAATTTATTACGTAATTTTTTCAATTAACCCACGATTGCAAGGGTTTAAAGCTTGAACATTCGTAAAAGAAAGAAACAGTTGATAAAACTGACTGGGGATTCGGTAACCTGAAAGATTTGATTGATCAGGCTTTGGATTTTCCGAGATTCTGTCGGTGAACTGTGATCCACGTCCTCTGTACATGGGATGGTGGTCCAAAATGAATTTCAAAACAAGCGTAAAAAACACATGTCGTAATTGATATCACTTGAGAAAAATTACGTAAAAGTCCCATAAAACAGATTTTATTTACATATAAATCTCATAAAATTTAAAAAAAACTACAACCAATTATTTTGAGATTTAAATGTAATTTAAAATTAAGATGTAAATATAATATTTTTCTTGCTTATTAGATTTAACCATTAAATATATGAAATTACAATTGTAAAATATTGAAGTACTAGTAATAATGATAATTTAATTATTAGATATATGAAATTATAGTTGTAAAATATTAAAGTTATAATTATAAATACTAATGAACAGTTATATATAATTAATATTAACTTCTAAAACATGATCAGTTTAACTATTGTTATATAAAATTATAGTTGTAAAAAATAAAGTGATTGCCAATAAAATAATTAAATTACTTAATTGATGAAATGAATTTTTAATAGAGTTATTATTATTTTTGTATCTTAATTTTAAATTACACTTAAGTTTCAGGGGATCTGGTTATAATTTTTAGATTTTATATATGTATCTATAAATAAATATGTTTCATGAGATATGTACCTAATTTTCCCATCATTTATTAAACTTTCAAATAATAAATATCTCAACTAACTCCGCAGTTATTTGGTGGACCTATCATTCTCCTTTATTTGCTGGGAGAGCAACCTCTCATTTTGCTTTACTCTTTTTTTCTCTCGTCACTTTTGGATAATATTTAAAAATTTACTATTATAATTTTAAATAAAACCAGAACAATTATTTAATTTTTATCCAAAGAAAATTAAGCAAAAATAAGGGAAAAAAAAGAGTGAGAGCAAGGAAAGCAAAGCCGGGAGGTTCCTCTCCCTCTGCTGGCACTATCAATTACACGAGTCAGATGTTAGGTGTAGAA